TTTCGATTCGTGCTTCCCTTTCTTTCTCCCTCTCTCGTAGTTCTCGTTCCTTGAACTCTAGTTCCCGTAACTCCCGTTCCTTTTGGGCATCAAATTTCCTAAGTTCCAACTCAAGTTCTAATTTTCTAATTTCTATATCTGAGGTATCAGACGAAGCAAGCGATTCCAATACAGACCCCTCAAATAACTTTAAACTAACCAAATGTTTCATGACAATGTGTTGAATTACATCTTTTCGCATCGCTTTCCTGACATCTAACTTTAAATGTTTCCCAAGGGAAAGGAGATCATCCTTTTTCAAATTCTCAAATGTTGTTTGACAAGGCGCAAGCATAAACTGTTCCGGATTAAAAGGTTGCGTCATCCTAAATGTCGCTGGATCGACACGACAACTCAAAACCGCGACCGACAAACACACGTGCAAGGAAACACACAACGAATAAAGCTGCATAAAATGGTTCCTCCCGGACAGGCCCCCAATTGTTACGAACGTGTAACAAGATTTGTAACGAGTGGGACCAGCGACATTCAAATAACAGCAACACGTTTATTATAAACGAATATAATTTACATACACGATCAGAGTGAACACAACTAGCTCTAAGATACGAGTAAATACAGAGTTGGAAGCTTACTGTATCCGCTGGCACAGCCTCCAGTTCAGTTCCTAGCATCAACAGATGTAATTGTCCGAAGACAATGTCCACATAAATCCATAAATGAGGGAAAAAATCATAACCCAAAGCGGGCAAGCTAAGCATAGCCCCAAAAACTCCTGTCGCCTTCCACAAACTCGTGGGCTACTCTCTTATGCCCAAATATGGTCAAAGCAGTCAGTGTGCCATATTTGGCAAAACTTACAGGTACATGTACATGTAACACCTGATACTTCAGATGTAAAGCTTAATATATAAAAGAATTCGTTACTTGTTTTGTCATCGGTGGAAAACCTGCAAAAGGTAAAACTAAAGGAATTTAGTTACGTAACATAACCTATAACCATGTCGGATGTCCGCCCAGTACAAATGTTATTGCTATTTTGCAGAGATTGGAGGCATTTAAGAACTGCAGTTTCCTGCTGTAATATCTGTTCATAATTGGGAAATCTATCGCTTTGACTAAAATAACAGACACTAATTAATATGTGCCTTAACGCAGGTTCAACTTGATCGTTTAGATGAACTGGTGTTGTCCAAGATGCTAAACGTTCTGTACTATTAAGTCTCGAAATGACATGAAAGCTGTTGAAAGAATGAAAATTAAAGCGTTAATCATTTAAAAGCCTACTTATTTCTTGATTAAATGGCCTCAATTAATTTCGCGACTAACATTTTCAAAGTTGCGACCAGACATTTTTTTTAATTTTAAAATAAAGTGTTATCATACCTGCAGAGGTCTTTATCCGTTTGTTTTACCCCTTTCTTCGCCAAAGAAAACCCGAACTGACGCAATTCAAACTTTGTTTACTGGGTGGATGTGCGTGCCGCATTCCCCACCCATGGCCCGACCGGTGAATTAGGCAGCAGTCACGCAATGTTCCTCCGCGTTCACCTAGTGTAATAAAAGCGGATCTACTGAATCCATACTGTCTTTGCGTTAGGTATAATAACGTTCCCAGGCAGATAAGTGCTTTGCTCTTCGAAAATAATAGGGATTACAGCCAAAGCTTAGTGAGCAGCCCTCCCCCTCTTTCGTTCATTTTGGTACATGTATTGGCGTGACAATTCCATGGATCGATTTCTTCGATTATTGTCTTAAAAAGGCAAGCGTAGATTTCATCTTCGCTTTCGAGAAAGAAGAGCCCAAAATGATAAAGCACAGGCGAGAATCCACACCAGTTTTCATAGCCTTCTCCCATAGCACCCTCTGAGGGGAGGGGGTGTCTGTACACAGGCCTTTCATCGTTTTTATAGGCTCAGATTTTTCACAATAATAACAATTTTCCAAGTTGAAATCTGTCCAATATCCCGTCTGAATGATTAGTAAAAATGACAAAGTTAGTTTTTTGGTCAATCGTGTGCCGATCGCTATCACTACATTACGATAGAAATACTCTCGCCTCACATGCCCGTACACGCGCTACGTAAGAGGCACGCAAGCTTTGCGCAAAAGGATTACAACGGTATTTTGAAAACTGACTCTTTTGCAGTCTACTCTATTTCTGATTCCTTTTCTTACACTTTGAGTTCAGTTACATTTTTTCAAAAGGCGAATCACACAACTGACGCTGTGCTTTTATTACATTACATTCTTTTCACAATTTCAGTCTCAGGTTTATTCTTAAAATTTCGCAAATTTAAGCCTCGATATTCTTATAAAATATATTCTCATAAAAAAGAACGAGTGTATTAACGTTCCGCGTATTTTTTATTAAACATTAAACCTATTAATTTCAGAAACTCGGGGCTAAAAAACTGTTTTTGACAACATATTATTTTGTTGAGGAACTGGTTGAATAAGCCTTAAGAGTAAAGACTGAAGATTCCGCAGTGGCCTTTGCGCATGCGAACAAGCCAAAGAGAATTTTCGTCTCTCACATGAGTAAGGTGTGGTGTCCGTTATATTCTGGCAATGAAGTTGAAGGTCGTCACGCCACAAAAAAAAAGGGGGTTGCGTTCGTGACTCCATCCCTCAACTGCACACACAATTTGCTTTGTACATACTGGATATGTTTTTGTCTAATTGTTTCCTTGGTTTAAATTTTTGTCCCTTTGTTTTAAGCTCATTATGACACTTTGCCATATTCAAAATGAACCACAACAGAAACGCGATCTGTGATGAGTTGCAAGAACCAAAATTCGGGTTATCGGGGTGAAGGCAAACGAAACTTATTTCGAGTTAGCATGAAATTCAAGTAATCCAAGTTCGAGTTTACTAAGTGAAAATGACTGAAAAGTGGTGTCAAAATCAAGGGAAGTGGGTCTTAGTTCGAGTTAGTTGCCCCCTCTTTTTGAGCATTTTAGGTATTCTTTCTATGGCCAGTCTGTGACTTGCCAAATGATTGAAAGCATTTTGATTCCTTTGTTCGGTAGTTTTTTGTTCGGTAGTTTTATTGAAAAAAGGACATAATCTAAGTCATCCTTTTCAATACTGTAAAACAAAGTTCGTTTGAAAGTTTGCGAATTTTTTTCACTACTTCCTTTTTCAGCAACCTGCAAAAAAAAGTGCCAGTTACATTCTTAACGTGTTTTTAAAATGTTGTTAATTTCAGCCTCAAGCTTTTTATTAAAAAAGATTCTTATCGAATTATGAGTGTACTTAGATTAATTTTATCTACTTCTTTTTTCTCCTTTTTAGCACAATGGAATTTCTTTTGCTTTTTTATTTTTTTTTGTTTTTTGATTTCAATTTTGGCCAATTTATACCAGTTGTATTCCTTTTGGCTTAGGGAAAGGGAAGTGAGAGGCTTAAAGAGGCAGCTGGATGCAGAAGTTCGCGCCAGGTCTCTTGCGGAGAGGCGGGTGCGCACGCTGGAATGGAAGAGAAGGAGGACGAAGACGAAGGATTCAGTTCTACATATAGGGAGTTTAGTCACGCGTTTGGCCCCCTTGAAATACAGTTAAAATTCGACCCGTGTCGAAAATTTCGTATTTTTTCTCCTTTTGAAATAAGTCTTTTGAGAAATAAACCACACAGATCTTTAGAAGATACATTGAATAATAAAATATGTAAAAAACACCATGATTTGTGGCATATTTCAGCGTTAAACTTGAATGGACCGGGGTGGACAAAAGTCAAATTCCCCAGCGCTTATTGGCTAAAAAACAATGAGAATCAAATGAAACAACAGAGCTAAAAGACTAGGGGAGACCAGGACGGTAGTTTCTTTGCCCGAACGCGTGTCTATTGTAAGATATCACTGTTTTCGCAAATTAAAAGCAGTTTTCGAAACTTTTTTTTATTGTTATCCGGTTTTAATTATATCTAGAGTATTCTATAGGTTATAAAGATTATTTTGAGCGGAAAATCAGTGGAATTTATCGTGATTTCATGCGCTGGAGAGCGAATTATAAAATGTGAGTACAGCGCTCACTGAAGATCAAGATGTCGGCAGTGTCGCACAGCAAGGATCAAGTTCACAGCAATCCTGAGGGACCATCAACCTCAACAGGCGTATTGAATACGGATAAAACGAAAGGTAAGCAAGCACTTCTTAGCTTTAATCTGAAACATTTACTGTATGCTATATTTTTTATCGTACATCAACATTCGATTTCGTTTCAAACAAACTTTCAAGGATAATGCGTGTAAATAATTTCCATTTTGATTTTTATCACCTGATAACTTGAATTTTCAAGAAATACTCACTCAGTAACTGCTTATGTCAGTATCTGTTTGGCTTTGGCTATATTAGACCCTGAATTTGAAAGAATATTCAATTTTTGTCTTGTCAGAATTGTTGAACAAGGGCATCTTTGTGGGACCTTTTTGTGAGAAAAATGGTTTGGATGTGGCAGCATTGCAGAGCGAGGACCTCAAACCATTGAAAAGGGAACATTTAACTGTTGGTCTTGTTCTAGAACTCTGGAAAAAAAAAGACTCTGTCAAACAAATGCAACGGTGGATCAGTGGGTTGACTCCAGTGGAGCTACAACAATATCAGAGTGGTCTAACATCTCAAAATCTAAACAAGGCATGCAATGATTTACTGAAGAAATCCCAAAAACTGGGTAAAAATAAAAAGAAAGAAGAGCTTGAATTACTGAAGCAAAGTTTATTTTATTTACCTGGTTCAAATGCACCAATGGCAAGAGAGCAATTAACACCCAAGTCAAAAGCAATTGCTGAGCTCAAGGATGAAAACAAGGGATTAAAAAGATCAGTCAGCAAAACGCTTAGCTTCAATGAAAGATTAATGGATGAGCAGGATGCTTTAATCACTGACCAAGCAGCATTGGAGGAAGAATATTTTTCAACTGTTGAACACATGCGAATGTTGACGAACAACATTGCAGGTGTTGCTTCAAAACTTAAACATGAAAGGGATGTCCTCGAGAAGGATATGAAAGTGTTACAAGATATGAAAGGATATGAAAGTGTTACAATGAACAGTCTGAAAAGCTCAATGTGATTCAAGAGAAACTGGCATCCTATACACCTAGGAATGTTAACAAGAGGCAGAAAAGGGCACAGTCAAATATAACCAATTTAAAAACCAAAATTTCCGAACTCGAAAAGGAAAAGTACACTTTGTCTGGTCAGCTGAATGATCAGGCCAAAGAACTTAATGAAAGCAACCAGAAATGTGAGCAAGCAAAAAATAAAGTTGTTTAGCTGAAGCATCAAAAAACAGGATTTACAAAAGAAGTTGTGGCATCTTCAGAATTCTAAGAGTAGGCAAGCTAAAGAACTTGATTTATTAAAGGAACACAATGCTGTCATGATCTTAAAGCTAGAATCAAGTGCTGAGGAGCTTAAAGAGAAAAATAAAGAATTGGAACAGCTAACTTGTTTGCTTGAGGATGAGACCATCACTACATTTGAAAATGGCAAATATGTAGATGAGGTGCGGGACGTTATCATGGACCTTCTTGCTATGAATGTTTCTATGAGCAAAGTGAATGAAGTGATACGTACAGTATTACAGAAATTAGCTGGAAAGAACATATCAAGGCTTCCCAGCAAGGCAGTCCACTCACGTCTTCTAGTTGAGGCCAAACACCTTGCAGATGTCCAGCTTGGGAGAGCAATGCTAGAAGAGGCTGACCCATCTCAGGTAATTGGAAATACCCTTCATGGAGATGGTACAACCAAGTATCATCGACATTATCAAGATTTTGAAGTTACCACTCCATCTTGCCAAACATATTCAATGGGCCTTCTTGAGTTGGGGAAGTCGGACACAGAGGCAATCATGGATGCCTTTAAGCATCGAGTGGAAGAAATTGTGCAGGCCTTAAGTAGTGGTGATGAGAAGGCATCAGTTGAAAACAAAGTTGCTGAATTAGTGACATCAATTAAGAGCACCATGTCTGATCAAGGGCCAACAAATGCCACTTTCAATGAACAATTGACTGAATTGCGAAAGGACTTTCTTCCAAAGGTGGTGGAGAAATGGCAAGACCTGACAGAAAATTCTAAAAAATCTCTAGAGGAAATGGGGAACTTTTATTGCAAACTTGCTTGTTAATCTAGGCGAAGAAGCAAACAAAGCTTTAAAGTTGTTTGAACATGCCGCAACAGAAGGCAGAAATCCCTTGGCATTTCTTTCATCAAAAGAATCTGGCTCCTGTAGGCTAACAAGAACAGCTTGTGAAGCATTTCATCCCACAGGAAGTCAGACTACTTTGATGTACATCTCTCTGAGAATGACTTGGAAAGCAAACTTGTTGAGTTTATTGGAAATCGCTTCAACATTATTTTTTACAACTCCGCTGCTGTTTTTTACCATAGAAGCCACATTCAGGATTTTCTTTTGAAATGGCCAACACCAAATCGCCTTCTTCAGGTTGTGTCTAAGGACATTGTGGAGGCTGTATACCTCGCAGGAATTAGAGCCCTTGGTATTCTTGATAAAATTGTCACTGGTCCTTCTTTCGATTGACAGAGAATGCAAAATCTGTTCTTGATCTTAATCCACATTTGCAGCAAATGCAAAAGTGCTTTGAACAGTGGAGCCAGGATGCAACTCCACTTCTGGAGGGAGAAACACTATTCAAAGAAGAAGTTGTGCCCATCCACCGTGATGAAATCTACGAAAGTCTCTTCAAAGAACAAAGTGAACAAGTGGAGACATTCACACAAAAGGCCCTTGAAATCATTTTTAATTCCTGGATGATCTTGTTCGAAAGGCAGGCTCAAGATCAGATTCCTGGGGGAAAGTATGCTACTCCTTTCCCTGAACTATTGGCCCAGGCAGCTAATGTTCCTGCAACCAACATGGCATCTGAGAGAGATTTTGGAGTGTTTGACTTGCTGTTGCATTTGAAGCCTGCAGCAAGGCTTATTTCCCATGAAGCTCTTGTATTGTGGACAAACAATAAGACTACATCTTGGCTCAATTCTTTGTCCCCTGAAGATAAACAAAAGTGCATGGCTGAAGCAAGAGCAAATACCAGTAAAATCATGGCGCGATACAAGGAAAGAAAAGAGAAAATTTTTCAGCAACGAAAAGAAAAGCTGTTAGAAAAACAGAGGGCAAAGGAGGAAGCTGAAAGGAAGCAGAGACAGCAAAGGCTTAACTTAGTTAGCAGCATCACAAAGTTAGGGGGTCCTTGGAAATCAGAAAAAGAAATCAAAGAAGGTCTGATGAACATTGCTTCAGAAAAGGAAAAGCAAAAAGCCCTTGTTACTCAGCTCCAGTTCCAGAAAGTTGTCCTCCAGGCTGTAGCACCAACCAAGGAACATTTTCAGCAAGAGAAATCTGTGTCTCGAAAGCGCATCATATTTTCTGTTGCGCAGCTTACTAAACACTTGACAGAAGTCTTGGAACTTAACCAGTTTCAGCAAGCTGAGCCTGAAAATAAAGGTGGACTCACCTACCGGAGTTCAGATGAACGTGTCAAAAGCTTGTCAGAAGAAAAAGCTAAGCTGGTGAAGAAGCTGAGATGCACGTCAAAACGTTATGTTAAACAAGAGCAAAGCAATGCTTCCCCAATTTCAAGACAACCCATTACTTCTTGTCGAAAAACGAGTCATGCACAATTGCATTGAAGATGGCTCTGAGCAAGCCGAATTGTTCAATGCAACTGTCTTGCGCCTTGCTGAGGATTTTCCAGATGAGGCCAATGCAATCGATGTGGAGTACATCATCAAATACGACATTGACGAAGATGAAGATGAATGGACAATGCCATTACTTAAGGACTTAAAAAAGGGGGATTTGAATGTTCTTTAATATTTTGTTTCCATTAGAAAATTAAGGTTGCACAGGAATTTTTTTATCAAAAAATAAGTTTTAACTTGATCTTTCATTTATTTTTCAGTGTAAATATCATATTTAATGTTACATTTCCAGTTGTTCCAGGTTCAGAATCTGGTTGTTACCATAGAAACAAGCACCTGGAAATGTTTTTAACTGTTTTCTGTTAGTGTTATCTACCTTCAACAACAATTATGAATACACTGCTTATTTATCCTGATGAGCTGGCTTAAGCAATTGTTTTACAGTGTGTTACATAACATTTCAAGTAATTTAGGTGGTTGAAATGGAAACGGGCCCTCTTTAATGATTCCTTGTTGATAGCAAGAAAAATTTCAAAATGCCAATTTCTCTGTTTAGAGATGAAATTTTCATAGTTTTGATCAATATTTTCTTAAGTATTGTCATTTATTTACCTGATGACGTCATCAGGATCGTCATGGTAACTTGATTGACACTTCAAATGATAGGCCTGTCAAAGTTCTATATCATGGCCAAGTTTCAAGTTGATACCTTGCTTAGTTATGAAGTTATGGCTGAAAATGTTATTGGAGTGGTCACATCTGGTGCCACTCAATATTCATATAATCCATACTTCCTCTTATATTATAATTTCCACATTTTGGTTAATTAACAAAATATTTAAAAATTCATTTCTTTGCTTCTATGTGGCCGATTTCCTTCATTTAAAAACCAAAATGTTCAGAAAAAATAGGAGAATTCTTTAGCGGTAATTTCAAGCCTGAAAGCCATGAGTAAAAATTGATCCTAAACTCCCTACTACATAGGGATTTTTTTTGCCTTCCTCTTTCTCCTTTTTCAGGGGCACCAAACGAAGGTCTTCTCCGCAATAGGTTTAAAACTCTTTTCAGAATATCCGGAGTACTTCTAGATCTCTAAAGATGCATTCTAAGCGGAGCTACAAAATTTTTATAAAAGTCATCGCATATGAAAAATGAGGCGCGAGATTTGGTATTCGTGTAGGGAAGCAGGACATGTGCCCTATGTTTAGGATGCATTAACTCTCTTCCTTCTGGATTATTAAATAATAGAGAAAGAGGTGAAAGAAGGAAGAGAGGTTAGAACCCTAAATATAGGGCACGTCCTGCTTCCTTACACGAATATCTAATCTCGCACCTCATGTTTCATAACTTTAGATGGATTTGTTAAATTATAAATATTTATTTATTTATGCTGTTGCACTCATTCAAGTGCTTACTTAACCTTTTACTTTTTCAATTTTGTTTTCTTCCTGCTTTGTGTGCTTTTCCTTTTTAACAAAGTCTAGCTGCCACTTTAAGTCACTGTGTTCCCTGACCCTCTTTATAACAAAGTAAATTTCATTCTGAGTTCATGAAATGAGTTTGGTGACAGCAGATAGTGACTGGTAATTGATAAAATATCTGCCAACAATGTTATGTCCTGTTTACACACTCTGAACTTCGCTAAACATTCTGATTTATCTATCTGGTCGTAATCAAACTTTGAGTACACCCTAAGTGAAGTCTGGATTATTGGAACTGTAACTTTCGTACAAAGTCAAAAATTCTTCGTCACTGATGCTTTCACTGTCATACAAAAAAAGAGGCAACTTTCTCATATCACTGAAGGATAACATGCTCTCACACAGCTTATTTTAACAGCGAACAGAGTTTGCTACCGACATCACTGCTGCAAAGTTCGTCTGCTGCTTAATGTTTATATTTTGGCGGGAACGACGTTTTCTTCCCAGGCTCTTTCGGTCACTAAAGTTGCCGTTGCCTCTAAAACGACCCATGCTTAAGTTCCCTAAAAACTGGTAAGGAGGGACAAATCAAACATTTCACAACAAATTGAAATACGAGGTATTGATAACGTACTAAGGTCCGTCTTTAAACAGGCCATAATGTATACTAAGTTGACTTTTTCTAAGCAAGCACATGCATATACAACCCTGCTTACACCTTGAATAGACGACGTTTTATATGTTATGGTGTTACGGATGCACTAGGTTCAAATTTTTTAGTGACATTTCTCATCCTCTTGAGGCCATGGCTCGATGTTTGGAACTAAATTGACATTTTCATGGATGACCTTCTGACATCGAAGTCTAATTCAGATGAAGCCATAGTTCTGGTTAAACAGCCGATAGAAATCCTGGCAACCGGAGGATTGAGACTCACGAAGTGGATGTTGAACAGCCAGGAAGTTCTAGCAGCAATCCCTGCTTCAGAAGTAGCTTGTGACACAGTTGAACTTGATTGTAATGCTTTACTTCAGGAAAGAGTACTAGGTGTGAAATGGTGTGCAGAAGAGGATCTCTTGAGTCTGAAGCCAAAGAAGAGTGAATTTCTCAACACTAAGCGACAAGCAGTGAGTTTGATCCTCTTGGGCTCGCTGCCCCATTCGTGATTAGGGCAAAACTGAGTATTCAAGAACTTTGCAGGAGTCAGATCGAGTGGGATAAAGTCTTGACATCCTCCAGTGGTGGCAAGTTTGGAAGGAAGGTTTGAAGACTTCGTAGTCCATTGCAGTTCCCCGATGGTACGCCTTGCATTATCACGAGTGCCAAAGCGTGCAGTTACATTTATTTTGTGATGCCTCTGAAATCGCTACACAGCAGTTGCCTACTTCCGTACAGTGACATGTGGACCTGTTAATGTGAGCTTTGTTATAAGCAACACAAGATTGGCACCAATCAAGACATTGACCATACCACGTTTGGAGCTGCAAGCTGTGGTTGTGGCTGCTAGGCTGAAGACCAAGATATTAGAAGAAATCGACTTTAAAGTTGACAAAACGCATTTCTGGACTGACTCCAAGATCGTGTTGCACTAACTTGGCAACACCCGGAGGAGATTCAACGTGTATATATCACACAGAGTTGCTAAAATCGCCTCCAAATCAGATGTTAGGGAGTGGGGTCACACTCCCCGGCACAATGAATGTAGTTGACAATAGTTCGAGAGGGAAGGAGATTCACGAATTAACTCCAGAAAGCGGTGGATCAGCAGTCCCCAATTTTTGATGCTACCTGGGGAGGAATGGTCGAGTTCTAAAGAAGACCTCCAAGTGAGTGAGAGCGAATTAAAAGTCAGGGCCTCTGTCCTAACAATGTTGATCGTCCCTTCTATGATTGTAATAGAATGGGAGAGGAAATCCACTTGGAAAAGGCTTATTGGGCTCTACACGTAGTGGATCAAGAACAAGTTAACCCTGAGGTGCAAGGTAAAGAGAGTGAGTCCACCTCCAGAGCGGCAGATCAAGAATTTGACTGCTGATGATCTCGAAGAAGCCTTATTCGCCTTGTGTAAGATAGCTCAGATTGAATTGTTCAAGCAAGAGTATAAGGATCTTCAAGCAAGTTGGGCACTGTCGAGTAAAAAAAGCTCCGATACCCTTTGAGGCAAGGCACCAAGTAGTCCTTTCACCAAAACATCCTTTGTCCACGTTGCTGGTTCAAGACCTTCAAAAGAAACACTTCCATGTAGAAAGGGAACAGACACTGACTCTTGTGCGTCGGCAGTTCTGGATCCCACGAGGGAAATCATTCATTAGAAAGATCGTTAATGACTGCCTGCACTGCAAAAGGAGAAGGGAGAAACCAGAAATACCTGTGATGGCATCCTTACCTAAAGAGTGACTTGCATTTAGTGAGCCTCCATTCATGAACACTGGCGTAGACTACTTCGGTCCGATAAATGTTAAGAGAGGAAGGGTTACAGAAAAAAGTTGGGGGTATTTGTTTAAATGCCTGACCACCCGTGCAGCTCACTTAGAGCTAGCAGGTGACTTAAGCACGGATTCCTTTATCATGGCATTGAGAAGATTTTGCAGAAGAGGCAACCCTAAGACAATGGAACGAACTTTGTCGGAGTCAAAGAACGTGAAAGAACTTGAAGTCACTGAGTCAAGAACGGATCACCAGAGAGCTCACTTAAAAAGGGATTATCTGGTACTTCAACCCCCCTTCATCCCCACATATAGAAGGAATATTCGAGTCAATGGTCAAGCAAGTAAGGAGAGCAATGAAGACTGTATAAATGATCAAGTTCTACCTGAAGAAAACACTATACAGTCCTTGTCGAGGCAGAGGCTATTTTAAATAGTCGACTGCTCACTGCAGTCAGTGACGACGTCAACAATTACGTGGCACTTACTCCAAACCACTTCCTCATCGGACGAGCATCAAATAATAGCCCACCGGGTCACTTTGAAGAAGGTGAAATAAATAGCCGCAAGAGGTGGAGAATGGCCTAGGCGCTTACTGTTCATAGTTTGCAGCGCAAGCTATATTCAATGCATTAAAGCATTAAATCAAGCAATCAATAATTGCTCATAACTGTTTCTCCCAGAATGAGGTATAATGATAAATGTTAACTTTAATTTTGACATTTGTATTACTTGTAAGACGGGAGGAAAGAGAAGATGCCCCCACTGGTAAGAATGCCATTCTATTTAGCTTATGTGGCCAAGCACGTTCTTCCTCGAATTTCCTTTTAACGACCAAAAAAGCTGTTCATAGTTTGCTGCGCAGGCTATATTCAATGCATTGAATCATTGAATCAAGCAATTAATAATTGTGCATAACTATTTCTCCCGGATTGAGATATACGATAAATGCCAACTTTAATTTTGCAATTTGTATTACTTGTAGGGGGGAAAGAGAGAGAGGAAGGGTAGAGGACAAATAGATCCTTCACAAATAGATCCCCCACTGATTTACGATTAAAGATATTAGCCAGAAGAAAAAGAAGTGATTAAGTACTTCTTCCAACAGTATCTGATATCAGCCTTGTCTCAGGGGACACCC